TTATTATTATTATTATTAAATTAAAATAGTGCTTTTAAGGTAAATTAAATGGGCTCGGCTGGCCCAAAATGACATCAATCTGGAGTCTGGACGTCTCATGCCACTTTGCTTTCGCATTAATAACAACCTAAAACTTCTTCCGTTCTAGTAACCACCAAAAACCTCTCCCCCAAGAAGATTCTCGTAAAGCATTCCACAGTCTACACCGCCCCAGTCTCCCATTTTTGGCTTTTACCCTTTCATACACACAATCACCGACTCTCTGTAGTAGCTCCCATGGCGGATTTACTCATACATTCAAGATCCTGCATTTAAACAGCCTCTCTCACTGAAATTTTATTCGAATTCGTCAGTTTGATTTAGAACACAAAATTGAAAATCCGTAGATCGTTGTCTTTGATTGATGTTAGCAAGTCTTGCCTCAATTCAATTAGGCAAGTGCGTTTGTTTTCAACCATTGTGCCGCATCACAGTCCTTCCTAATGCAGCTTTAGGTAATCATTTGATTTTATTATTTGGAAATTGTTTATGACCTTTTTCAGAAATGTTAACCTCAGACTAATTTTGTTGAATCGAATGCCATACCATTGGTTTCTTGCAACAATAGTTCTCTTGATATTTCCTTTTCCTGATATTTGTTAAAAATTTTCTAGGATTGGATAGGAATAGCTCTTTTAGAAATAAAAGATGCTATGCTGTTTAAAGGACTATGGTCTGAATTCTCTACTTTTAGCATTGATAAATACTTCAATTCGATTTGATAGCTCAACTTCAACTTCTTCCTCACTTTTTATTTATTTATTTATTTATTTTTGGCTTAGAATTAGAGCAAAGATCAATCAGAAGAGGCGGAGAGAACTGGAGCAATCATTTCTAACCATGTTTTATATATACATATATTGTATCACATGTAGTTTGACCCACAATATCCTACACCCATTCTCCCATCAACTCCCTTCCTCACTGCATTCCTCTTCCATGGGCTGGAGCAACGACTGTGGTAAAAAAAGATTGGAAGTGGAGGATGAAGCTCATTGGAAGAGGCAGTCAAAAAGAGTGGTGAAAGAGAGGACTTTGGGGACTTTGGGGGGCTGGCGGAATTGGATTTAGGAAGAATAAGGTGAATGAGATAGTGATTTTATGAATTGGTAATTCTAGGAAAACTACCCTGGCTATTGAGGTTTGCAGAGATAATGAAATTCGAATTAAGTTTTCAATTTTGCTTCTATTTCAATGTTTTAGGTGTGGCCAAGGGAAGTTAAGTTTAATTCAGAAGGAGAGTAAGAGGAATTCGAGGGGAGAGGTCAGAGGATCTCAATTTTCAGTAACCAGCTCTAATCTTATATTTTTCTTCCATCCAGTTACAGTTTAGAAAAGAGGAATAGGGTGTTAGTTTAAAAGAGTAAGCAAGATGAGTTACAGTTTCTGCTCCTCCTAAAGGAATGCATTTTACAATTCAAAAGGCAACCAAATTGAATTCAAAGGTGGGCTTTTGATTTGCTATCTGGGCTTGGAATTTCATTCATCGATCTATGTTCTTGATGGGGTCTTTTGCACTTCTTTCTTCTTCAACTGTTGCAAATTTTAATTGAGGGGTCTTGATGGTTTTTCTCTTGGTTTTGCAAATTGTAATCTTTTAAGCTTTTCTTTGCAGATATACAGAATGATTGGACCAGATGAGAGGGGTGATTGCACCGGTAGAAGTTCAAGGTAACTGAACACAATTTGTTTAATCTATCTTCTCATGTTTTGTGCATGGCTGGATCAAAGAGCATTTAGGACCATTGATCAAAATATTGTTAGGTTACCAACTTACCCTTCTTTAGTCAACAAGAGACCCCTATCTCTGTATTTTCTTAAAATTTAAGTTCAACTCTATCATCTTTTATTTTCTTCTTTATTATTATTTTTCCCTACTTTTTAATCCTCAAATCTGATTTCAATTAACTGAATTCTATACTTTCTCATTGCAATATGCAAGAAGGTATTGAAGGAAATCCTGTAGCTGGTCCGTGAAAAATGTTTTTATGGTTCTTTCCGTTTTTCCAGTTTCAATTACCAGTACTTTCCCAGAGGCAATGTTATTCAGTTATTGCTTGCTATCTTTCCCAAATAGCTGTTAGAGGTCATAAGCAATTGTAGCACCCAGCTCTTTTCCAACATAGTTGTTTAAATTTGTTAAAATATAAACTGTTTCTTTCAATAATCAAGCACTTACTTCATCTTCTCTCTCCGAGAATACATTAAATAAAAGAGAGATTAGTAAAAATAGGCCTTTAAAAAATAAGATTAATTTGTAGAGAGATGAACTGCTGGTACAGGGGAGAGAGTAATAATAAGGGTAGCGTCATATGTTGATTGAGATTGTACTTTTGGATCATATTTGGGTTCCTTTTTCTTTTCTATTTGATGTGTTTAAAGGGCAAGAAATTTTTAAGAGCAAATCAAATTTTGCAGTATGAATTTGCTATTAACAAAGAAATGCCTTGCAAATTTGAGTTTTGAATCTTTGGTTTCCCATTGTACGAGGAAAAAGTCGTTATATAGTGTTTTTAGATTTAACTCATAAGAAGGGAATTGGGATTCTAAAGAAATTTGTAATTGATTTTTGAATTTTGGTCTTGTACTCCTATTTTGTTGATGGATTTTAAGTAGTGATAATAAAAACTCTTGATTTTCAATTATAAGTTTCTGGTAGTATTTGCTTACTCCATCTCTCTTAGCTTGAAGGTGACACTCTTGATTCCTTTCTATGTTGATTTAGTATATGGAATTTAATTTTGTGGGCTGTATGATTGATAAAAGTTAGAATTTTTTCTGCTATTTGTTTCAAATCAGTGTTCATTGCCTTTTTCCCCATTTTTTTCTTTCCAAAGCTTGACAATTCTCTGTGTAATTATAATCATTTATGATGGGTGTTTGAAATTTTTGGTTCATTTTAACATTGGTGTCGTGGTGGACATTTGATTTAAGCTTGCATTGGTCTATGCTCCCTTTATTATGTTAAATGTAGCTCCATTGATAGATTTTATATAAATTATATCAAATTTTACGTTTATCTGCTATTCTTTTCCTTGAGTCTAATGATACTACCATCTCGGTTGAGTTGGAATGTGTTTTTGAGATTGCCATGTGTATGGGGAAGTGATGGTGAGTTGTGTGATGTGGAACCTGATCCTAGAGAAAGTGATGGTAAATGAAAGAGAACAAAGTTCCCAATGAGTAGATATTGATGCTAAAAGGGAAGAAAGCGAGGTAAAAGATTTGACAGTGATGAAAAAGAATGATATGGTTGGGAGTAGTGACAAGCAAGAGACAAGAAGTAATCAAAAGTGGATTAAAGAGGTTTGAGAAGAACCATTACCCAAATAATGAAAAGATAAGGAGGTTGATCAAGCTAAAAGTCTGAGGTAATGGCTAGTTGCAATTACAGGTTTGTCTTTTTTTTCTTTTTTTAAAAGAACATTTGCTTGAAAGTTTGCTATTCTTCAACAAAAAAGATTTTTCTCTCCTTCCACTCGAATGAATTTAGAAAATGATAATCACAAGAAAACCCTATTTCCTGAAATAATAAATTAATAATGTCTAGAAACCACAACTTACTCATGCTTCTCCCAGTTTCTATGCGAATAGAATGAAGTCTGCCAAAAGCGTGTAGGCAAGGAACCAGGTAACATAATTGCCATGTCCATGTATCTTTATTTCATGGTGTTTAATTTTCCACAATGGCACAAGAATCCAAACTGTCATTTGATTCATAGAAGTCTATATCACTCTGATGCGGGTTGTTGCCAGCTTTTCTGTTAGAGGTGCAATAATGGCTGAGCTGAAACAATAGAATGACTTGTATGGAGGAAGAGGTTCAGGAAAGAAGCCAGGATTGACCTACTTCCTTTAAATTGCTGAAAATAAACATTTCCTACGCTCATCAACAAATTCTCTACCTAAGAATGTGAAAGTTTAGCCAAAATGGCCTTAAGTATGGTTCAATTGTTCCAAGCATACATTTGGTTGAAATAGATAAGATCTTTAGCAAAGAAATATTGGAATAGTTATTATTAAGATAATCAACTTTAATTTTATGAAGTTTTTCTAAGAATTCAAATATGTATAAACATATTATTTACACTTAAAACAAGTATATAATTGAATCACTATTACTCTCGTGAAGCAGGGTGAGAATAAACTTGTTTCATTATAGTGTGGGTTGTTTATTCATTTATATAAGTCACGCATCAAATAAGTTAAGTAAAATGAGCTTAGAGACCAAGAATTCTTAAGTACCACTCCTTTTTTTTTTTTTTTTGAACATAACGAAATTGGTTCATTTCAAACACCGTCATACGGCATCTATAGGAATAATAAATAGTAATTACAACAGGAGCAAGAAACTAGAGTAAACCCATATCCAGAGGCCGAAGGGAGGTGCACATGACACTCGAACAACCACTAAGGGCCCAGCTATACAGCGGCCTTCGGTCGAGCGATCCAACGGGACACCCTTCAAGCTACCCATGTGGAAGGTGCGCCAGGCTCCAGGATGCCGATGCGGAGACCCGATCAGGTGGAGGCAGCATGTGGGTCGCGAGGTTGCTAGATTTGGGATCCCTCGCGTGTACCCTCACCGATAGAAGCTGTTGGATGGAGGGGACCACCGCCGAATCTGCAAGCAAACCAAAAACAGCGAAGACCTAAAAGATCTGCAGGATAGAGCTGAGGGTCGCCAGATCTGAAAAACAAACTATACAAGAACACAAAAAAAACCCAAACAACAAGAAAAAACAAGAAAACCAAAGGGGTCACCAAAGGGGACCCAAAAGCCGACAGACCCGGAAGGGTTGTCGGAGGGGGGAGCACAGGGCGGCTCCAACATGCCTGAACGACCGGGAAGCCTGGCGGCTCAAGCATCAAAACCTCGGAAGCTCAAAGGCTTCCGAGCAAAAAAACGCACCAGAGAAGGGAGGCAGAAGCAGGAGAGAAGGGAGAGAAAAGGGGGAAAGAGAGAGAAAAGATTTTAAGTACCACTCATTTTAAATGAACGAATTAGGCTAGAATTGACTAAGTCAACTTTTACCATGTGTAGGGCATCAATATTTTATGTTTTTGTTAGATTGCTTAGCCCCATTCTAAAATCAACTATTTTTCCAAATTTCTTTGTTAGACCAAGTTGGTCTTTATAAAATTACTTCTGATCTTTCTAAATGTTTGTTTCCCCTTCTATATGAAAACTATCTAATATCATAACAGTCATTATTTTTTGGTAAATTAACTTGTATGGTGATAACAATATAAAATTTAGAGGACAACAAATATAACCCCATAGGAAAAGCCAACGCCTTCTCTAATCACATTACTCAGTTCTTTTGGGTTTTTTAGTCTCCTGGCAAGACGTACCATGAGTCTTGAAAGCCTTCCTGCATCAAAAAGCATTGCAAGCAACATCTGAATTTTTTTTTTTTTTTTTTGGTGAAAAGAGATAAAAACATTCATAAATAAAATAGAGATCCACAAAAATTTGGGAAACTCAGTCCCATTCATATCAGCATACAAGAACATCCCCAGGCCAAAGGGCTAGCATTTCAGATGATGACAGACCAAAGAAGGGAGGGTGTGACCCATATTCGTCAGGAAATCAGTACACGTGAGCTTCCCTGAACACATGTTGAAGTTGAACATTTAAAACTACTGCAAGCAACATCTTTCATTGGATATATAAACTGCAACAAACCCAAAAGAGTGCACCATTACAGATAGTGTTTTAGACATGGGGTATGACATGACCATTAAATGTGCAAAAGGGATAATAAAAGAAGTTTAAACAAACAGATTTACTGTACAGACAGAGTTAGGAGAATACTTCACTATGTGAATATCAAAGTACAAACAAACATCTAGAATATTTTTTTCAACATATCTTCAGTAGAAGCCCCGTTCACCAACTCTTATATCAAAACTCATAACCCATATAATTCAACTGCCATTGGGATGAAAATGGTAGATGATTGAAATGTAGCAGCCATTGTCATGTGGTAAGTCTCTATAGCATAATCAAAGTGCAGAAAGGCAAAGTCTAGTTAGCTCCTTGATGTATTAGAGAAGTTGATACTCCTGCATGACCAATGGTAAAACTGTGTTCAAATGATTGAACTTTTCTATTGAGCTGATAACATAAACTAATTTGTAAACTAAGCTATCCTTTTAAGTACTTCACCTACCTACTACTGAAGATGCTGCCATCCAGAACAAAATCTTGAGCCTCTATCACAAAATTGCTCATCCTAAGTAGATGATTTATGAAAACAACAAAGCACTAATCAGACCGATTGTTTATTTATGATTCTCAAAGCCAAACTACACAATACACAACAAAAAACATTTCTTGAGGTTTTGCAGTGACATACCTTTAACTATCTGTCTGAAAGAATGTGGTTTACACTAATTGGAAATGAGGCTGGGACACTCAAGTAAGGGACTGTCTATTGACAACTGAAGTTTGCACACTACAGCTGGAGCTGAAGAAACAGAAACTAATATCAAATAATCAGTAGAGAAGATAACAAACAAACAACAATGAACTTTATGATATACTGTAAAAGTCACGAGTGGAGGAAATAACAAAAGCATATTGATTTTAGATGAATTTTAAGTTGAGAATTACTTATACACTAACAGACCTTCATCAAAGTCCATTAGCTACTTTGCATCTGCTATTCTCCTTAACTTCTGAAAGACCTACAATACACAATTAATGAATGAGATACTGAACAGTGAAACCTACAATACACAATTAATTCTCAAACAAATAAAATGTATGATAGTAGTCAGTTGGGAAGACTATATATGCTCAAATGTAAAGCAATAATGCTTAAATAAGACTTTTAAATGATCTAGAAGATATACTTGATACATTTTTGCTTTGTCAAGTAACTTCCTCATGAAATGAATATAATCTATTACCACTTAAGGTTCCATGCCTGCACATGAAAAAGGAAATATATTAATGGAAAAAAAAGGTACTAGATGTACTGATCATGAAAAGTTACAGCGGAAAATATAAGATGGGGAAAGATATTTAAGAACAGAAAATTGATGATAGATAGTCCCCGCAAGTATGAAAGTAGAAGCAGTTTATTAGGAGACCTAATGCTCAATGGTATTAATTGTCTTATAAGAACATATTTTGCAATGTAAATGATCAAATGCTTAATTCCAAAAGCTAATGTAAATTCTTAATATTCTTCATTAACTTCAAATCAAAGTTTCCAAATAATAGACATGACCGATAAAAAAAAAAATACATATATTAAAGAAAATGATGAGTTCTGAAGAATCTAACCTTGAAGTCATGTATGATATAATTCCTTCTGCTTCAATTTACAGAGTGATACTGAGTTTAAGGCCAAGTTCTGCAAAATTGATAAAATGGAGATAGGATGAGAGAGCATGATAACTAAAAACACCATCAAATGAAAAATGCAATAAATTTGATGTGCTGGTAATTTAAAATGGTGCTAACCTGGAATCATCTCTAAATATGTGAAATCAATAGATCCATATTTGGATAATTGGATCATTCTCACATAAGCTGGCATAGAAAAAGGGAATGGAATAAAAATTGTTATATAGTCAAAAGTTGACATCTTTTATGAAACATGAGTTTAACATTTTCAAAAAGTGGAAAAAAAGATTACCTAAAAGTATTCCTCATGTATTGCACTGCAAAAACTTGGATCATCCAGGGATTACTGTATAGATTGACAAATTTGATTTTAGGTGTTGGTTTGAAGTCTGAATTGATAAAAGGATACAAATGCTTACTGATATGGTGATGGTGAGGATAAACTTAGTGATGGATGGGAAGTTTTTAAAGAAACTGAGGTTTAAGAAAATATACCTGATAAGTTCAATCTTCTTAGAACTGGATGCACTCAGTTGATTTGGATATTGGAATGTGAGGAACTTTGAATCAATCAGTGCCTCTTAGCATTGGATGGCCCCAGGAGAAGGCAAATATTTCAAATTATGAACAGAAATTGAATATTTGAATAGAGACGAAGTTAACAACAACTATGCCAAAGCTTCCAATTTATAAAACTCTCTATAATCAGAGAGTCCATAAACTAAGCTACACCCGTTCCTCTTAGTGTACAAAAAGCCCTGTGGCACAAGGAATGTGATACTAATCATGAACACCTACAAGCATTCTTTCTATCAAAATTTTCAAGAAAAATACTTTAGCATATGATCTTACTCACTTGCATAGACTATACATGCTTGTAAAGACATAATACTTAATTAAGACTCATATATGATCTAGAGGGCATGTTTGAATAATATTTTGCATTGTCAAGAAGCTTCCCCCCTTCTCCCTGCTACTTCTCCTTGGTGTGAATTAAATACTACCTAAAGGTTCTTCAAATGTTCAAATCCAAAGTACATGATAACTCCATAACTGCATAACCAGCAAATAGTTTTATAAAAAAATGAATTAATGAAATAAAATTTAGTACAGTGTCACTTGTTAATTTCATTTATGGAAACATGAATTCACCTTTTTGAGAAAAACCAAAAGAGGATACCTAAAAGAATCCCTCATGCACAGCAAACAGTTGGAACATCTTCTTGGGTTTTACCTTACAGATTGACAAATTTAATTACTGGTGCTACTTAAAGAGTTAGAATTCATAAAAAATACAAATGCTTAATGATAGGGTGAAGATAGGCTTAGTGATGAGAAGTTTTTAAGGAAGAAGAGGTGTTGAGGTTTAGAAAATATACCTGAGAAGCTCAATATTCTTGGAATTGGATGCAGTCGTTGTACTTGGATACTAGAATGCAAGAAACTTCCAATCAGTTCATACCTCTAGGCATTGCATGGCCCCAGTAGAAGGCAATTATTTCAGATTTTAACTAGAAATCTGGTCTTCCAATAACGAACAAGTTCCCCAACAATTGTGTCAAAGCTTCCCAATCATAGAACTCTCTTATAATCAAAATCCTTAATATTCAAAATGCTGCCGTCCAAAACAATATCACAAAAATATCCAACAACAGCTGGCTCATCCTAAGTGCATAGGAATCCCTAGAAAACAACATAAAACCAAGTAAACCCTCATCATTACCTTGATTATTCCCTTGTATGATTAATGCAAATAACTGAACCCCCCATTTCACAAGGTTGTAAAGTTAATCAATATTAATCAAAATTTAGTTTTTGCAGTAAAACAGGAAAAATTGAATAATTATTATAGTAACAGACTATGAAAAACTATCTTTTACAATGAAAAAACAAAAGTAGGAGAGAAGAATCATATTCATTTCAATTGCTTAAAGAATGAGGAAATTTTACTTAATTATATATTGATGAAAGTAAGAAGCTACTCTGCATTTGATACTCCCATAAATAGATTGCTTCAAATGATTTAAGACCCTACTCCTACTGGATCCTTACACAAACAAGTTGTATGATAAAAATTTTGAAGCTAGTTCATAAAACCCAACTCAAAGACCATGCTACAAGTTCTAAGAACTTACTAGATTGATGAGGACTTCTTAGGCGCCTGTAAAACAGTGACCTATGCATATACATGTATACAAAGATGCAGACTCGTGTGGACAAACACTGCCAGTAGACTCAACATGTACTTATATAAATAGTTTGAGAAAACCACCCATTTTCAATTCCTCCAAACCATGGGAATCATTTATTATACATTGCAAATAATGAGAACCTACCCTTGTTTGGTTTGAGGGAAATGGAAGGGCCACAATGTCATCCGTTTCCCTCCCTCTTGCTTGCTTCCCCTTTTTTCATTTAGTTATACTAAAATTATAAATGAAATTAAAGGTAAATCCTCCCTCCAATTCCCTCCCCTACAATTTTGTTAGCCAAATAGGGTATTTTATCCCCCTCCACTCAAACCAAACAAGCTAGTAAAAGAATACTTATATGGAAAAGAGTTGGAGTAATAAGAAATTACCTTTTAAAGAATTTTCACAAGCATTGTAGGTTAAGAGTTTTGAAGTAGCCATAAGTAACCCTTTGGATTGATAAATTTGACTTTTTTTTGTTGCTTTAAGTCTGAATTGATGAAAGAAGCAGAATTAGTGGTGGAATTTATCATAAGGAAGAAGAGAAGTTGAGGATTGAGAAATTTAAATATACCTCAGAAAAAGGGCTCAATCTCCTTGTTATTGGATGCGCACTTAAGACATTTCGATTCTTGGAATGTGAGAAATTTTGAACCATTCAAGGCCGGTTTCAATTCCTGCTAGCTCTGGACATGCTTCAATTCCAAGATACTGCAAGTTGGAGAGGCGATGCATGGCTTGTGCAGAAGGCAGATATTTCAAATTTGCGCAGCGAAGAATCCCCAGAGTTTGAAGAGATGAAAAGCTTCCCAACCACTCTGGCAAAGCTTCCACTTGATTGAAATCAAATATTGTCAATTCCCTTAGAGAAGTGAGGTGTTGAATTTGAGGTGGTAGATACGTTAGTTTTTCCCACCCAAACAAGCATAATTTTTGAAGGGAGGCGTGGAGGTGGTGGATGGAATTAAGATATGGGAATTCCTTCAACTCTTTTGAGAAACCACCAATTCCCAAATACTCCAAGCAGACAAGACAGCTGAAGCTCTCCTCCGGAATACTCAAATTTTCACAGTTGAGAATACGTAAATCAACAAGAGAATGCAAATCCTTCAAGTCTTCGAAGATGGAGATCAGATTAGGGCACCTAACCATGATCAATTCTTTGAGTGCAGTGCAGGAGGACAGTCCACTTGGTAGACTCACCACTGAACTGCATCCATCAATCGATAACTTCTTTAGAGAGGAAAGCCCATTTACACTTGGAATGGGCCTCAGATCTTCACATCGAAATAGATCTAACTCTTCTAGGCATGTCAGGGTCGAAATACTGTCCCCAATTGTTTCCAATCTTGGACAAGAACGAATGCCTAGTCGGCTGAGAGACGTTGGAAAGGCACATGCTCCATCTCCGATTCTGGTTAATTCACGGCAACCTGTAATTTCAAGCTGTTGAAGAGATGATAACCCGCTCAAGATTGGAATGCTTTTCAACTTTTCACAATTTAAGATTTTCAAGTCTACCAAATTGTTGAGTGAAAATGATTCACTCAAACTAGGCACCATCCATGATGGACATTTTTCACCTCCATAACGTTTTATAGTTAAGTTTCTCAAATTTGGGGGAGGTTTGAGGCCTGCTAACACATCTTCATCATGATTACATTCTTCTGTATTTCTTTCTGTCCATTTAAGACTCAACTCATAAAGTTCAATCTTTTCCGAAAGTTTTGCTTTCTTGGCTTCTGAGTAGTTTTCAACATGCTCCAGATGACATATCCTTAGTTCACCTCTAAGTTGGCTCAAGCATCCCAATTCCTCAATTCGACTTCCCTCTTGTAGACCGACAACAAATAACTGCAACGTTTGAAGATCCTTTA